TGGTCTGCCCTAGAGCAGCCCTGGTTCTCCTGGGACAGGACATTTCGGCCTCAGTGCTGGCCCGTCACAGGAAACCAGAGGCCTCTCAGGCTCCACGGCCAGGGCTCTCCACACTGTGAGTGTGGGAGCTTTTGTCATTAAAATACATAAAAACATGTAACGTTCACCACATTTACCCCAGGTACAGGAGGTTCCCACTCACAACCCCCAGTTCGTGTTGCTTAGGACTTGCAAGGTTCACCCCAGGGTGCTGGTCAAAAGGTATTATTTTCAAAGTGTGCCACGACACCAAAACTTTGTTAAGCATGGAATTTGTAATTTATGTTTCTGCAAATCACGACCTGGATTTTACTAATAGTCTGTCGATGGCAGAGTCCGGTGTGAACAGAAAACTAAGTGTTAGCTCTGAAGGTCAGGGAGCATTTTCCATGCCTGTGTCTCACAGGAACCTCAGACACAAGTTCTCCAAGTCAGCAAGGCACTTCCCCAAGTGCTGAGGGAGGCGCTGAGGAGGGGACTTCTGCTGGGAGAGTCTCAGGTGGTATGTGTGCCGACCAACCAATGGCCGCTGGGATTCCGTGTGAGCGTGGGCTCGTGCCCCTGCCACATGGGGCTTGGGAGGTGTCCCTTTAGCTTGTGGCTGGTTATAGCCACTGGGGCATGTGAACCCAGGGTCCTCCTCAGATGCAGAGGAGGTGATCTTGGAGTCAGAGTGGTTTTCTAGGGATAGTGGACTGGAGGGAGAGGTAAGAGCAGGGGTTGGTAGTACTATGTATCAACCTATGGCAGCAATAGTATTTGCAACCAAATACTCAACAAGAGTAATTAATTGAGACCCATATTTCAGTATTAATATAACCTGACTCAAGTGGATTTCTTCCCTCCCTCCCTCCTTCCCTCCCTCCCTCCCTTCCTCATCTCTTCCCATCCTTCTGTCCATTTAGCTAGCTAGCATTTTTTTTTTTGAAGGGGAAGGAAAGCATTTATTAAAAGACAAAACACAAATTTCAGGTATCAATCTGGCTGAAGAAAATGGCTGCTCTGTGGCTATGAGCATCAGCTATTGTGTTTTATCTTTCTCACTCGCACATTAAAATGAACTAGAACTGCAAGAACTAGAAATCCTCGGGCTGAGGGAAGTAACTGAAAAGCAGCCACCAGCGCTGGCATCTGGTCTTGTGCGATCAAGGCCCCAGAGAAAGGGAAGGTGCCCAGAGCCCGGAGGTGTGGATTCTCCACCTGCTGGGAGCTCACATCTCTCTCCACAAAGAGATGTGAAAGCTGCTTCTAGTCTCTCCCTTAAAGCTGACCGCTTCACTCAAGCTCATTATTTCTAATTCCCCAAGCCAGTCCCCGGGGAAGGACAGGAAACCAGGAGGAGGAAGAGGCATTGATCTTCTCTGGGAGACCTGCAAACATGATGGGCTTTCTGAGGTACCTGTCCCTGTGCAACCCACCCCAGGGGAGGTGGGTGTGAGAGGAACCCTCCTCCCTTTCCCATGATGCAATTTTTCTCTACAAAACTATATATACTTTTTAAATATGAATTTTTAAATTGATTTTAGAGAGGAAGAGAGAGGACTAGAGAGATAGAAACTTCGATGAGAGAGACATGGATTGGCTGCCTCTTGCACGCCCCCTATTGGGGATCAAGCCTGCAACCCGGGCATGTGCCCTGACCGGGAATCAAACCATTGGTTCATGGGTCAATGCTCAATCATTGAGCCACACCGGCCAGGCTATATACTTCTTTTAAAGAGATAAGAATTAGATGGATATTTAAATATTTACCTATTATTAGTTTTTAGAAACCCTAAAGTTTAGGAGAATTTTTGGGTGCCAGCAATCAACCCCAATGAACTTTATGAAAACTGGATTTTCATTTTTTGTGTGAATGTCTAGACCTTTCTGTACCAGAAACGAACCTCTTTTTGATACTGTAGTCATTTCAAGGTCACACTTAGAACAAGCTAACATACTTCCCCTCCCATCGTCCTCACTACTCACTCTCAGGACAAAGGGTGCCTTGTGTCCAAAGACTGGATGGTCTTAAGGTAAAGAATCAGATGGTGGCTGGGGTGAGGGCACCTGGATGAAGTGAGCTCACTTAGCTCTTGCTCTAGTTCCCACCAGGGTCATGCCAGCCTGTCACTGGCCCTCAGGCACTTGTGTATCCTACTCCTTTTCATTGGGATGACGTTTGGCTCGTCGCCAGAAGTCCTGGATGCGCTAAGGGAGAGGAGAGCGTTAAGAAACACAAGTCATCGCCTTAGTAATTGGTGTGATAAAATTTGGGGTCTTTGAATGTCTTCCTTTATATAATATTTCTAGGGAGAAGCATCCATTAACAAACATTTTAAAAATTGATTTTAATGGGACTCTTAACTGTCTCTGAGTTTTGAGAACCTTTCTCTCAAGATGGTCCCTGCAGGAGGCTGACTGAAGCCACTCTCGTCTGACAGAACATACTATAATATCTTGTGTGTCATCAATTAATTAAACTTGCCAACAGCATCCAGGAACAGCCTCAATAAGAGTTTCTTATTAAAGAGACCACTCATGCAGAATTAAACCCATTTGTGTCTACAGTGCATTGCCAAGCCATCTATTTTTGGGGTTAAAAATATATAAAAATTCTAGTTTATGGCTTCTATCTTAAGTGCTTTTCAAACATCTTCAGAAATTTATCGGTACTTTAGGCTTTTTCCTGATTCAGTACTCCAAACTGATTTAGCATAATCAAGTTAAACTGTTCTTAGTTAATAGGTACGGAATAGTATCAGGGAGGCAAGGACAATTCACACGTTCCCAAGGTCATAGCAAGTAACTTACATTTGAACTACTGATTTTGACCATGAGTTTCCGATTGCTTGATGGCTAATGGTACACTTCTAAAAATAAAACATTCACCGTAATTGAAAAGGTAATGCACTTGACATCAAGTTGCTTGGGGGCAGGTGAGTGTCACAAAAATCAGGCAGCACAGAATGTCACCAGACAAGACTGAAAGTCACGCAGCTGAGTTGACCGTGGCCCCGTGGAGAGGTCCTGGAGAGGTCCTGGGGAGTCAAGATAGCTGCCCACTCTGCCAGGGGAGATGTCTCCCCGTGGGCCGGGCAGCTGCAGGCCACTGAGGCCAGCAGAGGGCACAGGAGCGGACGGCCGCCCTCCCTCTCCGGCCCCAGCTCTCATGAACTTCCTCACCTTTCGAGTTAGCCTCCTCTTGATCTCTCTTTTCTCCTCTTGTTCCTCTTGTTCGTTCCGAGCTGAAAGAAACATTTAAGATGCTTTGGATTTTGTAGACAGTGTTGCACACAGGAGCATACTATGAGCCCTTGAGGCTCTGGGCCAAGCACCTCACAGTTAGGAGAGGGAAAGAGGAAGCTTGTGTCTCCTACCCTGGCCTTGCTTCTGCCTGTGGGGACACTTTCAATCTGGTGGTGAGCAGGCTGACCTGCCTATTTTGGTTCCTTTCTGTCCCCTGGGGTTTCCAGTCTCCCGGCAGCATTGCTGGGTGAAGAGTGTAGCTTGTAAGACAAGGAGGGAGGTCCTAAAAGAGCAGGTGCCGTCAGCAGTGAGGTGGGGCTCCCTTCTCTGGACAGCACAAAGGCCTCCCTCCACTGTGCCCCCAGCCTCACAGTCACTGCAGGGCTCATTGTGATGTGGCCCTCAGGTCGGTGCACTGTGGGAGTAGAACCCAAGACCGGCCCGTGGGGGAGCCTGTCACCTGTGCAGAAACAAGATGAGGAAAGCAAAGGCCAGCCTGGCTGCACGAAGAGGAATTTCAAAACGCTCACCTTTCGCAAGCCCTGCTTCCATTAATTCTTTGAATCTTCTGAGAAGTCCACTGAGCATGTGTGTGGCCAGAGTGTGGGGCACAACTGCCTGCATTGGGACTTTTAAGGAGTGCCTTAGAGGAGCAGGCCCCGGAGCCTGCACGCTGTCAGCTTAATATGTGGGTGACTTGCTCCTCAGATGTTTACAGAGCCGCAGGTAAGAGGGTCTGGGGAAGGGAGCAGAGGTTTGCAGGACAGAACCCGTGGGCTTATTTCTCCTTTTGAGCTAACGGAATGACCCTGAACATCACTTGCTTCTGGGAGCGGAATGGAAGCATGGCTCTAAGTATAAGATTGTTTAAAAGCAAGAGAGTCAAAGGTCTCTGCTTCTCACCCGCTGGATTAGAATGGCATTGTGAAAGGTAGCTGCTTCGAGCTGATCTTGGCACAGGGCACACAAAAGAGTGCCCTCTGAAACTGGTTCTCTCATCTTAAAATCACTAGTGTTTAACTATATTTCAATAACTGAATTAATGTATCGCATCAAGCACACTTGCAATTCAGTCGTTTCAATACAGGGCAGATCTTTAACAGAGGGAAGCCCCTGTGCACAGAAGTGGGTCCCACCCTGCCCTCCTGTCAGCCCCGAGGGCAGGCAGCAGCCACAGACAGCCACTCCTCCCGCTGGAGGAACGATGCCGTTCAGCGCAGAGCTCAGGGGCACGATCCCTGTGGGGATCAGGATGCTGTATGGGGGCAGCACCAGAAATGCCATGGCCTGCCGTGGGCCGAGGTCCCCAGAGGTCCCCACGGTAGCCTGCCCCACAGCGCCCCTAGCCACCCACGCAAAAGCTCCTTCTTTCAGATGTAAAGATCTGATCTCCCTCTCAGAGTTCCTATAAAAATGCAAATTTCTTTTGGATAAAAACCCATTAAACTAGTTAGCCATTAACACCTTAGTATGCACTAACCTTACAGAGATAAATAAGTTGGGCGGCAGACAGCAAGACTCAGAAGGGGAGAGCCCAGACAGCTGCATTTGCAGGTGGCAGGGAGGGAAAGGACTAGTCTGGGTGGGGTGCCAAGGAGGCAGCTCGGGCGCTTGGTTAAAATAAAATGTTCAGGGTATTAGGGCCACGAGGGGCTGAGAAACCACCAAGCCTCCCACTCTTAGTTTGTAAAAGAGGATGGGAAAGCCCAGAGGATGAAGTGGCTGCTCACAGGATACACGGCTAATTAGACAGACAGCCCCACTCTTTTCTCACCGGGGACACTGCCCTAGTGTCTGGCCCTCCTTATTACTGGTCACTGGCCTCAGGCTCTAGTCAGGGCTCCCTCACCCTACAGGCCCCTTTGCACGCCTCGAGTGGCATTCTGTGACAGAGCACAGAGCCGTCATCTCCTACGTGCAATTCTTAGGTCCCTCTCAGGGGTGGGGCCCCAAGACCACCTATGGGATCTATACCTTTAGTTCAAAGCCATTTACAAACCCAGGGTAACGTTTTCTCAGGCCAGTGATACCAAGGCAACCCCACTAGGCAACTGGGGAGAGAGGCCAGGACAGGCCCATGACATCATCACACCTGCTGCCACCATCAGAGTGTGCTCATTGTGTGCTCAGGTGTGCACCGTGCCTCACTGGTTGCTGACAAAGCAAGCACTGACTACAGGGCCGGAAGGGTGGGGCTGGATGCCAGACCCAGACCATGCTTCATAGAGCGCCTTCCCTAGCACCCTTGGAGACTTCCCTAGCACTCTCGGAGAGATGGCTCCTCACATGATTTAAACTCAGAAAAAAGCTTTAGAACAGCGGTTCTCAACCTGTGGGTTGCAACCCTTTGGGGGTCGAACGACCCTTTCACAGGGGTCGCCTAAGACCCTCGGAAAACACATATATAATTACATATTGTTTTTGTGATTAATCACTATGCTTTAATTATGTTCAATTTGTAACAATGAAAATACATCCTGCATATCAGATATTTACATTACAATTCATAACAGTAGCAAAATTACAGTTATGAAGTAGCAATGAAAATAATTTTATGGTTGGGGGTCACGACAACATGAGGAACTGTATTAAAGGGTCTCGGCATTAGGAAGGTTGAGAACCACTGCTTTAGAACGATTTGATGGAGGGTCTACTAAAAATTTCTTGTTTCACAATCAAGTGGGAAAAAAGAAAAAGAAATACTTATTTAGGAAACAATGTTCCAGAATGATGGGGAAAAATAAGAGCCCACAGGAAAAATGAGTTTATTTCCAACAAGTTTTGGAACTGTGAAATGATCAAGCTGTTTGAATCCGGTCAACTAGTTCTTTAACTTGCAGCTATTTGAATAGGCCAAGGAGGAGGAACTAGAAGGAAACATGGAAACAATCTTCTAAGCTGCCTGGGTCTCCTGAATCTAAGCCCCCCAGGCTTACTCGACGTGAGCAACTGCCTCTAAGATGTATTTGTCTGGATGGCAATAAAAACCCAAGGCAAGGGGCCAGCTGCGATCTCCCAGGGGTCTGGGTAAGCGGGTGTGTATGTGTGTGTGTGGGGAGGGGTAGGGGTGGCGGTGGGGATGGGGGTGGGAGCTGAGCCTTCAGGAAGCCAGAGGTGAGCTGGGCTTTGACACCACCTCTTTTCAAAACCCTCACTTTTGCTGAGAAGAACTATCTTCTGAAACCTGAAGTTTTCAGCTTCTTTGGGTTTAGGAGTCAGTCAGAGGCCACCAATATAATCTGGCCCATGTACAGACACTCCTTCAGAAGACAACAGATCCCTGTTAGGCCTGTGCGTGGGGGTGAAGAGGCAGAGGGAGGAGGAAGCACATTTACCTGATTTGTTATTTTAGGAATAAATAGAAGGTTTTCTGTTTTCCTTTCTCTCCAACAACGGAGAGTTTATAATAGAACAGGTATCAGGTTGGGGCCAAAAGTGCTCTCTTGACCATGGAAGTCATCTGAAAAAGTTCTAACTCTGTTTCACAGCATCTTAAGCTTACAAACCTTAGTGGGTGCCCCTTGTTAGAAATATATACATAAATTCCTAGAGACCTAGGAAGTGTGTGAAGTCTGTGAATCTGTGACCTCACTCTGTCACAGAATCACTCTAGGCGGAGAAAGGCCAGACCTAAGTATAGCAGCCACTGAGGAGGGAAGCAGTGGCCCGAGGGCACAGGTGGCCGGCAGGGTGCCAAGGGCAGTCACCAGGCAGGTGAGAGCTCCGGAGGGGCTGCCCCGTCCCCAGCCTTCCCAGGGGAAATGAACAGCTCACCCTCAGTAAACTATCCCAGGCAGACCAGGTCTGCTGACCAGGTCAAAGACCGCAGGGAGGAAGGGGAGAAACGTAAAACCAAGAACATTTCAGTCTGTTCTAAGTGGAAATACCCTCCCACGCAAACAGGTTTCACATGATTGGAGCGTGTGTGAGCGCGGGCGCACGTGCACAGCGTAGCATTTCTATGAAATTCTAGTTCTCTTTTCTGGAGAGCAATTAGCAGGGGATGAGCACGTAGGAAGACAGGGTATTTAATTACACTAAGAATATTTGTTGGCCATCTTGCGAAAAGTGTTCATGAGTGTGGTAGCAATGGCTGAGTAGAATGTGAGCAGAGACTTCATTGTTTAATTGTCGTACCAGTGTCCATGAGGTACTTGATGTCTTTTAATATTATATACATATTATATAATACTAATATTAATACTAATATATATAAATTTTTAAGCACCACGTGGATTCTCTGTACATAGTCAAATATCTCTGTGTCCTAAACCAAACAAGGGGCTGGCTTATTTTTTCTGTCCACAGCCACAGCGACAGTGAGTTTTTCTTGAATGAGGGCATTAGGCAGACACCCCAGCAGCCAGCTTGGGGGGTAGCGGGGGGCGGGGGGAGAATGAGAGATGAACACAAAGCATTTTTTCTTGGAAATGCTTCCCTAGACTGTAAATTTAGTGTTCAGAGGGAGGAGGGTTTGATCAACAGCAGCCAGGTGCAATGGGAAGTCACGTTTTCCAGTCCCAGGTTTCAAATGGCCATTTGCCTTATTTTGCCTTCAATGTAGTATTTGCAGTTTTCAAGGCAATTCTGGTTTAAAGGTGACGTTCACTCACCTCACAATCCTTGGGTGACAAGTGCTCTCACAACACATTTTCAGCTTCTCTTTGACTTACAGCCCACCACAGGGAAGGGGTGTCTGGAGCCGCTAAGGAGCCACGTGGATTGGAACCTGCCCTGGGTGGGGAGCTGGCCTTGGCTGTCCTGACACGCAGGGAGGGAGCCTCAGCCGCCACCTTCCCAACCATTTTCACCCAGGCACAAGGGACAGACCTTGCGACCGGCCACTAAATCATAACTAAAGCCACCACACAAACATCAGGATTGCCACAGGCTTAGTCACTTACGTTTCAAAATGTTCCTCTGCTCCAACTCCTCTGCAGTGGGCCTCTGGCTCAGCCGCCTGCGGAAAAAGTCCAGGAAAAGTTTTTGGACCATATCATATCCTCCTTGGATCATTAATCTCTCCCCTTGTAGGTACACGAGGCAGAGCCGGTGGCCAGAGTTCCTGTTCCATCCTGGGCTCTGAAGGACTGACTAGCACCACAGCCTCAGTTCCTCAATTTCAACCCCAGGACAGGCGCCCCACGTCACGGCACCGGCAGACCCACCCCCTTCCTCCTGCAGGCCCCTCCTAGCCTGCTCCTCCAGTGCCTCAGGCAAGGGACTTCTCTCCACAGAAGTCCCTTTCTTTCCTTGTGGCCTCTGCACTTGGGACCTTGGCCTCTGCCTTTCTCTCCAACCCTGAGGCTAGAGCCTGCTTCCTGCCATGTTTGTGCAGAGCCGGTTAGAATATAAAGAGGCCCATGGCCCCAGGGAGATGCAAGAAGCTTGTCTGTCTGCAAAGAACAATAGGTGCTCTTCTTCTCATCTCCACCCATCACTACGGGCCTATTAGCTCTGGAATGACAGCTGAACAGGAACCCAAGCGACACTCCTGTTGCCCAGCACATAATTTAACCATAACTAGTGAAACACAGTAAGGCCATGAACCTGCGATGATGCAACAGCGGGGGGTGGGGACAGACAGTGGTCAGGCACCACAAAGTGACAGAAGTCACCAGAGAATGGGAAGGGCGCCAAAGGGGAGAACTACGTGCTTGTACACCAGCGTACACCAGGTGACGTTCCAGGAACGGTCAGCACAAACCCAGGGGGCCTCAGTATTCAGAGGCATTCGTATTTTTGAAGCTCTTGGGAATTCTTTTTTTTTTTTTCAGTTGATCAGCATAGCGAGGTTCTTTTGCCAGGTTCTGTCTCTTGGGAATTCTTTAACAACCCCTCCATTACCCAGCATTCTGCATCCCCCATTGGGATGAGGTGTGCTGGGGAATTGTGGAAGGAGCTGGAGGCATCTCAAAGTCTCCCACTGGGGCTGACGGGGTGGAAAGGAGCGCTCTCCTCGTAGTAGAGGTTCCGGTCCCTCCCCAAGTATCTGCAACCAGTGTCTGAAGTGCCAGCTCTTTACACATTAGGATCTGGAGACCCAGATGTCAATGTAAATATTTAAAATTCGATGCTATTGTCACTTGCAGTTCTCTTTATTGAGCTGGGCCAGAAAACAGTCGGCTCGTGATAGCCCAGCGTCAACACCACATGCTGTAGACAGCTAGGACTGGGCTTCAGCGCCAGAGAAAGAACTTTTGGTCAGCAGTCTGGAAACTGCTAGAAACTGTATTCCAAAGCATTTTAAGTTTATAGCTGCATGTTTGGAGGTTCTAAACTTGGACTCAGCAGTCTTGAAGTCCTTTCTGAACTGGCTTCTCATCTGCAGGAGGAGACTTGAGATCACACAACTGAGCAAACGTCACGGGTCTGGAATGCAGCCACTGGCTCCGCTTAGAATGAGCTTCTGAGAGGCTCTCAATGTATCTTCCCCAGGAAGACTTGCTTCTTTTTACAGGGATGCACAGCTACTGAATGGGACCATTTGGTAGCACCCAGGTGTTGAATGAAGCCAGGGCTCTGAGACAATGTTTTGAACAAGCCCTCCAGATTCAAGGTGGAGCTTGCTTCTTGGAAGTCGGGCTACTGTTTTGGTGTCTCGGCCGGAAGTGTCTGCAGAATTCACCCATTGGCTTGTGCCAAGCAGCCCATCCATTCCATTTCAGACGCGCTGCCTGGTTCTGTCTGGGTTTCGTTTTTCTTAAGGGTTATGTTTGGAGGGGACAAGACAACAGTGACTAAACTATAACCAGAGAAAGTTCTGTTATTAACCAGGCAGCTTTTTGTCAAACACACATGGTTTCTAATGAGGGCCTTTATGTTTCGTTTCTCTTGAAAGGATCTGAGGACCTCCAGGCTAATCATAGCTATAACATGTAGCTAAGCCCTCCTGAAGGGCACGTGCTATAATTAGCTATTTGACTTTGAAAATGAGATTCGGTAGGAAAGTGGGATTGCAGCATTGTAATGACAAAGCTCTAAACAGCACAGGGGCTAAGAGGTCTGGGTTCTAGTTCTGGCTCTGCTCTGAGCCTATTTTCCTTGGACAAAGCATTGGACCCTGCTGGGTCTGTGCTCTTTTTTTTCTGCAAATAAATACTAATTTAATAGCTAATGCTGATGTCATGCCTAAAATGTGCAGGCGTGGTTCTAAGAACTGTATGTGTGCAAATTCATTTACTCTTCATAGCAGCCCTTTGAGGTAGTATGGACTATCATTTCCATTGTACAAATGGGAAAACGGAGGCACAGAAAGTTGCGTACCTTGCCCCAGGTCACATGGCTAGCACATGGCAGGGCGAGGACTTAAAGCCAGGCATTCTGTCTCTGTAGTCTCAATACTCTTAACTAGCGTATTAGCTTCTGGAGGCACAGAAAGTTGCGTACCTTGCCCAGGTCACATGGCTAGCACATGACAGGGCGAGGACTTAAAGCCAGGCATTCTGTGTCTGTAGTCTCAATACTCTTAACTAGCGTATTAGCTTCCTATGGCTGCTGTAACAAATTAGCACAAATTCAGTGGCTTAAAACAACACAAATTGATTATCTTACAGTTCTGGTGGTCAGAAGTCCAAAATGCATTTCATGGGGCCAAAAGCAAGCGTTAACTGGAGTGTGAGCCTCTGGAAGAAGGACAGAGTGTTCCCAGGCTTTTCTCAGCTTCGAGAGGCTTCCCGCACCCCTGCGCCCGTTCCAAACCAGCAGAGCTGCACCTGCAACCCCTCTCTGACTCTGGCCCTCCTGCCTACTCATTTAAAGACCCTTGTGGTTACAACGGGCCCACCCAGGTTATACAGAGTAATCTCATCTCAGGAGCCTTAATCACAGCTGAAAAGTCCCTTTCGCCATCAAAGGTGACATGCTCATAGGTTTGGGGATTAGGACATGGACATCTTTTAGGGGCCGATATTCTGTGTGCCACAACCATATGCCTTACTAGTCAGAAGCTGCAAACTGATCTCTGCTGGGCTGGGTTTGACTCTACAACTTCTCCATAGCAGGCTCAGATGCTAGAATTTTCCACCTGAATGCCTCTAGATAGGGCGATAGCCCAGTCCCCAGCACTTAGAGAACACGTGTGAGTGTAGTGACCTTTGTCCTAATTCTTCCTTTCCAATCATTCTGGCCCCCTGGGCTCTGAGTTTGAGAGCCCTGGATGAGATCACCAAGTCATAAGAATTCTAACCTTTGTTTTCCTTCTTTCATCCACCAATCTACCCATCATCTACTAAGAGCCCCATTGAGGACCGAGCACCCGGCAGTTCTTAAGGAGCAGACAGCTTAGAGGAGCACAATAGTGATTAAACTTTGCATGTGAAAATTGGACCAACAATTTTCAGGAGCTGGACTGTAATAATAAAATGATAAGGAACTTGGAGATGATATAGACTTCCATGGCAGTTTAGAAGGCACTCTAGATTCTTGCAGCACCTCAGGTTGGCACTCTGGAGAGTTAGCCAGATCAGTGCCTATGTGGAAGTAGAGCTGGGCACACGGCAAAACTGTGAAGGAGATAATGTGGGAGCTCTGTCTTAACTCTACCTCCTGTTCCCCTCCCTACCCGCCAAAGTCCCTGGAATGAAGTAATCTGCTCTATCTTATTCCTGTCCAGACCTGTTCTTACAAACAAATGCTATATACTCAGCCATATTCAAATGTAAATTATTTCATTTCACAAATTATTTGAGTGCTAGCTCTGGGCCAGGTTTTGTGTTAGGTTCTGGGGTACAGAGATGAGCCAAAACAGATCGAGGCCCTGCCCTTCTGGAACTTAAAGACTGGAAGGGCTGAGGGAGACAGTCATTAACCACACACAGAACTATCTATAAGATGTAACTGTAGGAAGGGCTTCCATGATGAGTCACCTGGGGCAGCGATACTGGGATCTGACCAAATTAGGGCATTAGGAAAAGCTTCCCAGAGGAAGTGACACTATGCCCAGATCTGAAGAATGGAGGACGCCCGGTTGCTGAAGTGGAGAGAGCAAGGAGAAGAAGGATGGAGGGAAACTAGGCCGCGTAGCCATATAGGTTCTTTTTTAAAAAATGTTTTTATTGATTTTTAGGGAGAGAGGAAGGAAGAGAGATAGAGATCTAAAAACATTGATGAGAGAGGAACATCATCGATTGGCTACCTCCTGCATGCCCCCCACTGGGGATTGAGCTCACAACTCGGGCATGCAAACCGGGCATGTGCCCTGACCAGGAATAGAACCGGTGACTTCCTGGTCCCTGGGTCAATGCTCAACTGCTGAGTCACACCGGATGGGCCCCACAGGATCTTGATCTTTTTATTATTTTTTAAAATATATTTTTATTGATTTCAGAGAGGAAGAGAGAGGGAGAGAGAAACATCAATGATGAGAGAGAATCATTGACTGGCTGCCTCTTGCATATCCCCCACTGGGGGATCAAGCATGCAACCCAGGCATGTGCCCTTGACAGGAATCGAACCTGGGACTCTTCAGTCCACAGGCCGATGCTTTATCCGCTGAGCCAAACTAGGGCAGGATCTTGATCTTTATCTGAGGAGCAATGTGAAGCCATCAAAGAGTGTAAATTTTAAGGTGGGTGAGGAGAGGAGTGAATGAACATTTCAGATTTATAAGACACTACATTGATCATTATACAGAGAATGGATTGGGGGAGGCAAGACGCAGTTTGAGTAGAGGCCTCAGAAGGCTGTTTGCACACCTGGTAGAGGCTGATGGACATGTGGGCTAAGTAAACTATGGTGGTAGGCGAGCATGTTTTTAGGAAGCCAAGTTGGAAGACAGCCTATATGGATGGAGGGGGAAGGAAGAGGTACACAGGGTACCTCCCAGGTCTCATAACTTACACAGCAGGATGAATAGCGATGCCAATCATTGAGATGGGAACACCGGGAGGGAGCCAGCACATTTAGGGGAAGGGTAGAAGAAAATGTGAGTTTGGGTTTAGATCTGTTGAATCAGAAAGC